CCCCCCCCCTCCCCTAATTCCTATCTAGACGATGTCCCCAGCTACAGCAAGCATGCTGTCTTATTATGGGTGTTCATGGCATGGAACTGAAAACGGACACAAAGGAGCACCCTGTGCTACTCTTCTCGAACGATTTCAAGTCGCCGCTATGGATCCAACCAGAACTGAAACGGCAACAGAAAAGTGAAAAGCATTAACAGTATAGGTTCAACATCAGATCAGAAACCAGCTGTTCACCGCGTGTTCGTTTTTGGTTGAAGCTGACGTCTTCTGCCGGGCTGTTCGACACGACAGGCCACGACTGGCCCGACAGCTGGAGAGAATCAATCAGTGCAAAGTCTTAGTACAGCCCAAAGAAACCAAAGAATTTTCCTGGAAAGAAAAAAACAAATCTGTACTTGGCTCATACTAGAAGTGGTGACTGGCTCACTTGGCGTTTTCGTGCATGAGGTTGTACTCCCAGAGCCCGTCTTGGTGCCCGTAGGTGTACCTGTGCAACGAAAAAAAGCCGGGGGGGGGGGGGACAAAACAGCACACAGCATTCGTGATTAGGGAGCTCCTCCCTCCGGCTGACGATATATACGTGTATGGCGATGACGCACACGCACCGAAATCATTCCGAACAGACTAGCGACGCCAAACCGCAACAAAAAAGTTGTTTCGGTACACTGCAGCCTGCCAGCATCAGCACGCGGGACACTTGAGCGACACGAAGACGAAACCTTCGCCGGCGAGGGTATGGTACCTACGTATCCGCAACACACGCTGCTGCGGCGCCCCTATTAAATCTCTCTCCTCACATTCCGAAGTAGTTGTGGTGGATGTCCGAGAAACGGATGTTTCCGCGGACGTTGACTCTGTCGAAGAGGTCTTCGTTCGACAAGTCCACGCAGAACCCTCGCACCTGAGACAACGGCGAGGTAGTAGGTAGGGTACTCTTTTATGTTTTTTGCATGACAACGCGTCCTCGAGAGGACGGAGCATTGTTCCCACAGGACCGATCACTGTTGGCCAATTTTTCCTTCCTACTATGCCAAAGGTGGCTCAAAAACGTCTTCCTACAATCGATCTATCCTGTCGATATCACTTCCCGCCTTTTCAACCAACTTCCTAACTTCCTATGCCCCCACAAGTAGGGTAGAGAGAAAGAAAGGGATGAAAACCCATCCGCCGCAACAGAAATAAGAAAAAAAATGTTTGAAAATAACTGAAACGAGCTACAAAAACGGCACTCGTTGCATCAGAGTTAGGACCAGCAACTGGGATGCGTATCTACTACATAAAATCATGAACGCGGGGAGGCTTGAGTGGAGTTCCAAGACCGTGAGGAAAATACACAGCGCGCCGCCGATTCGCAAACAACAGAAGGAGGATCAGACGTGAATTCGGAACAGGGATGTGTTGTGTTCATTGACAACACAGCAGTCTGTGCTCTGGTTGTATTGCACACGTTGTTGATAAGGTGCATAGAAGTACTTTCGTCGGTGGTATGGAATACTTCCTTTGGTGGTATGGTATACTTTGGTGATATGGCATTACCTTCCACGTGATGCCGTACGCCTCCGTGCCATAGTGCCCCAAGTGGTGTACCTCGCTGTTTATGACTAATACGCCGTCACCACGCAGTACCACCATCATTGCCATTATCAGCAGCAGCAGCAGCAGCAGCCAGCACGAACCCATTCATCCCCCCAACGTCCACGAAGCGAGCAATGGGAACAACCAACCAACCAGGGAAGAATACGTCCAGTCAGAGGGGAAGGAAGGGACACGAAATAGGACCGACCAATGAGGCCACAGCAGTCAGTGGTGCTGGTACAGCAGTCAGTGGTGCCGCTACAGTAGTCAGTGGCGCTGCAAACAGCAGTCAGCGGTGCTGCAGCAGCAGTCAGTGGTGCTGCAACAACACGTGACCTGCTGTCGGGCGTACGTTTGCAGCGAGAAGAAGCGAGTGTGCTGTGCACTTGGTGCCGCGCGTGGCTCCACGTCGCCTGCTGTGGCGGCAGTTTGCGTTGACCGTATGTAGAGAGTTGCGGCTCATGGCTAGATCGATTAACGTGATGGCCGAGAAAGCCCACTGCGCAAACGACACCAACACCTCAAACAAGCAGCAAACACCACCAAAACAGCAGCAGCAGCAGCAGCAACAACAACAACACCAATAGCAGCAGCAGCGAAAACGACAACGACACAAAATAACTCACTGTCGAATCGCGCCTCTCCCGCGTCATTCTTGGCGTGGCCGACGCAGGTCTGCGGGGGGGTCTCCAGCACCTCGCTGATGGCCGTAACGTAAGACCGGGGCGCCGAGTAGTTCGAGGCGTAGTCCGCCTCGTCCACATCCCACGACGACAGCTGTAGAAATACACAACAAAACGCCAGGTCAAGACAATTGCACAGGGGTAGGATCAGTGAGACAACAGTCGGACTAAACATATTCTTATAAAAAAAAAAGAAGCAATGGCATCGTGAGGGTGCCACCGGCGAGGGGGGGGGGGAGGGAGCGATATTCTGACGGCAAGCGGCCACAGGCAAACAAACAAGATAACACATACCATGGGCAGAGGCACGCAACAAGCTCGAGAGCGCCCCGAGGGTGCGATTTCTCAGTTTCCCATTTTGTTCTCCTTGGTGACAAAAAAGACGTGGGTCGAGAGAGAGAGAGAGAGATAAAGAAAGCGAGAGAAGGGGGGGGGAGAGCGAAGAGAATCACCCAGAAGACAAAGCTTCCGAGCGCAGTACCAGCCCCGCGCTACTGCACACCAAGAACCGTGGTATGGAGGCATGACGCACTCCTCGTTAGCTTTTGTGGCCACACGGCCGAACGCGTCGAACAAATCCAACAACAGCAGATGTCTTGAGGTACATGCCGATGTGCGGCAGCGACCATGGAAGCTTTCGGTGCCGTGCAGACAGCAGTGCAGGCCTGCGCTACAAGCAAACAATCCCAGACGTACGCGTACCTCGGTGTTTAGCAGAGACAACCACCCGCCGTGCGCCCTGAGCTCAATGACCTTGGAGTCTGACTTTAGTCTCATACCCTGCGTTTGACAAATTGTTGCAGAAGCACAAAAATATATATTTATTGATGTCATTCTTCGTCATTTCCATTTGCCGCAGACTCATCCGACCGCAGCAGCGCACGGTAGCGTTTTAAGCCAAAACAGCGAAACTGAAAAAACGAAGAAAAAAAACAGGATATATATATATGACACCCAACACTCCCGACGCTGCTGCGTGTACCATAAACATGCAGACGCAGACACCGGCAGATCGAAGAAGCAAACAGCGCAAAAACCCAACGACTCAAAGGTAAGGTAGATGCAAAGGGAGGGAGGCGGGACGTTCTCACCAACGGATTCGTGAAGCCGATTCAACCATGAATCATGCAACACCCCTATTCGGGTGGAGGCGAGAGATAGATTCACGCGGGGGGATGTACTCATGTAAATGCATACATCGTAGCCGTTAGACCATTGACCTCGCAAACGAGCAATGATGTGCCGAGTGTTCGCTGGCCCAGGCTGCATTTTACGAGGATGCACCAGAAGCTGGCCATTATCCTTGCATTTGGGGGGTGGGGGGGCTCAACCAAAAACCCTGCTCAACACACTTGCGGGCCCGGCCAGCCCTTGGGGGGGGGGGCTACCATGTTCATCACCGATGGAACACCGGCATTGGGGGACCCCCCGATATACGCAAGCGCTGGGTTGCTTGCACTCGCCAGTTCAACAGCTTTGGGGCTGTGGTTGGAAGCAGACACAAAACCAAGGCCACCAGCAGAATTCCACCCCCAAGGCTACACGACCGGTGCCAGGCCTCTCTAGGCGCAACCCACCCCTCAACCCTGGCCCCAACCCACACCCGAACCTATCAATAGGGTGTTGTGCATGGGTCACTGTACCGAACTACCGGAGCGCGCTTCGCGCTCGCCAGCCCAATTGGGGTAGGGCTACGCCTCGCGTGGCAACAATTGGGTGTCACGCAATACGCAGCTCAGCTGCGGGCCCGAAACGCTAAATGGGGTGCAGAGCCGAGTTGGGTCCGTCCGGTTCGTTTGCTGGTTCTTTTCTTTTCGTCGACTTGACTTACCGTTGTGCCCGACTCGGCATGGAGCTCGAGCTTGACCCCATCGTAGATGTAGACATCCGAGGTGAAGAGCCAGTAGCTTCGCAGACACGAAAAGCAACAAAATCGAGCCGATTGAAGGACGGAGGGAAAGGTTCGAGTGTGGGTCATAGGCATAGTATGATAGTGAGACTTGGGGAGTGGGCGAGAAAGAGGGGGGGGGGGGCGGGGTACTCATAGTCGTCATGCCGTAATCGTTTGACCATTAACCTCGCATCCCTACATAACCGGGACAAAACACGCCGGGTTCTCACCGGACCAGGCTCTCAAATCACCAAGCGCGAAGCGCCGTGAGGTATTCGGCGAGTCGCATGAAGGGTGCGCTGCATCCTGCTAAGGGTGTTCGGCATATTGTGCTTACTTCCTTGCGTACGGATGACAGCAGCGTATGACGTAATTTATTTTATGGTGCTTTCACTGCCAGAGGCAGTTATAAGCACTGTGTAACTGCCTCGAGGGCGCTTGACCATTTCAACACAACGTGGTGCGATCATCCCCTTCGCGCGGAGTGAGGGTTCTCGACCCCGCACAACATAATCTACTCCACCACCAATACGGGGGGGGGGGGAGGGGGGTCGATCAAAGACCGGCATGAGATGCGAGCGGTGTCGAGCACACACGACACGCAAACACGCCGCACCCACGCAGCGAGGGATATTTCGCACAGCGCGCAGACGTGTTTTAGCCTTGCAAGGCATATCTTCGTCTTTCCTCAAGAAAAAACGCATCTTCCCTCCAGAAAAATCGCAAACTGAACCCCACCCAAGGTGTGCAAATTATCGTAAATGTACACACGCAAGATTTGGAACCTATCAACCTCAAGGATGGTCACGGCAGACATAAATCAGATGCATACTGTATGTAGTGCAATCAACCATCATAAGGACAACCCGTGGGAGGAAATATGGGAGATGAAAACAAACAAAAAGAGCAAGCTCCTGCTGTGTGACCTTCAACCTGCGTGATCTCGGCCGATATTAGGAAAACATAAATACAAACACAGAAAGACTACCCATTCGAGATAAGACCACAGTCGAACGGGATGTGTTGAAGCCTTCACAGCGAATGGAGGGAAACCGGATACTGGGCTTATTTGGACGATTTAGGCCTGTACACTGAAAACTTTCGGTCAGTGATGCCAGCAGGTGCTAATCACAAAATCACTGTAAAGGTACAGATACAACAAGACATCTCCCCCGTATTGTTCTCTAGCTACGGGGTCAACCACAAAATTATCGGGGAGAAACCCTCCGTTATCACCAAAGGGCTTGTAGACTGGAGCCAGACTATATGAGATCAACGAAAATAACACCAGCAGAAGAAATGCTATACTTCCAGGGAGAGAACAGGGATGGCATGTGCGATAAAGGTTTCCGACCTCGCGACGCGAGAGCAGTGCTTGCTTGAAGACCTCTCCACATGTTGGAGTGCGTCACGTTCTGGCTGGCCTTGAGGTAGATTCGAATAAATCGCATCAAAGATCTTCCCGAAGGGTACATAAACCATCATGCATAGACTATGCACACGCGTGGTCCACATGACCAACAACCACGACCTTTCGGCCTTTGGCAAGAGAGGCTGAGCTACGGGTGTACAGGCTCAGGCTGACTTCGTGGGATTATCTCCAATACGGCAACTACTGCTTTTATTTTTTGCTGGTGCTGCTGTAATGGACACGTACATACACCATTACATGTCGTGTGACAAACAAGTTGGTGACAACACCGGTCCCGCGTTGTAAGAGAGTCGTCTTTACTGCTGTTACAGGGTCACGAAAAAAAAAAAAAAAGGGCCTGGAGTCCGGAAAAGAGAACAGGAACGGTGCTGCTGCATCGATGGTATCCATGAAGACACAGCAGTAATTCTCTTCAAATCCTCAACAAATAGTTGATTGTTCATGTGCAGTAAAACGACTTCTTGCACAAGTGTATCAGCAAGACCACAGCTAGCCAGCGCACGCGCCCCCAACGGAGCAGTCATGTACGACCTTCCCGCCCATCTACCATCCCATCCGATATTCCGTTCGAGAAAGTATCGAAACTGAAAAAAGTCTGGTTACTGCGAAAGAGTCTGTCGACGACAAGATGCATGTGTGCAGCACGGCCCGAAAAAAATAACCAACTTCCACATGTATTTGTGAGTGGCGCCGAAAAATTCATTTTTCGCAAGCGAGAGGCACTGCTGTTGCCGACAGCAGCAGCAAGCAGCTTCCCTGCAGCAGGCTGTGCGTACCCCACACAGCGCGTGTGCGTAAACCCGAAGGCAGAGGTCCCAACCAATCGATAGAGACACGCACACGGGCGGAACAGCATTCCATCTCCCTCTCTCTTTCTCTCACCCGGTCTCTGCGTCCGAAAATTCTCCGTCCTTTGTGATGGGCGTGATAGGTATCGCCGCCGCTTCCTCTGCCGTGAGGGTGTTCCCGTCGTCCTCCGTCACGTTGGTGAGCTTCGCCAGGTAGATGTCGGAGGGCGTGATGCACCCGCCGCCCTCCAGGTAGAGGCGGTCGGTCTCGACGTTGAAGCGCAGCGAGGCCTTCGCTTCCTGCGTGTAGTCGCACGCCTCGCCGAAGGTGGCCAGCCCAGCTGCTGCTGCTGCTGCTACCAGCCCCACTGCCGCCGCTCTTCTTCTGCTGAAAAGCATCCTTACTGCTGCTGCTGCTGCTGCTGCTGCTGCTGTGTGTTTCTCTCTTCGAGATTAACCTTCGCTCGCCCTCCCTCTCCACTTCCTCCCTGCTGCTCTGTGTGTGTGGTCGTCTCTCTGCTGAAGCCCGCTGTTGTCAGTTGTCGCCGACACAGCTTTCCCCAAAGTTAGAACACCAGCAGATGAATAATTTGGATGACGCGATCCCCGATCTATCTACTCCTTCACTCCGTCCTTTTTGGCAGCCGTCGAAGACCTCCTTTCACGGCTCCAGTTAAAGAAAGACAGAGACAACCCTCTTGAGTTTCAGTTCCCCTAAGGCTTGCCGTAGACAGCAGTGTCTCTCCCCAGTGCTGTGTAGTGCGGTGTGTTTTCGTTCTCAAAATTGCAAATTTTGGCGGGGGCTCGGCACTTCGGAGCAGTCAGTTGCAGAGTTTGTGTCGAGGGGGACTCGGGGGCTCCGTGGGTGCGTAGTCGCGCGAACCTGCGATCCTGGAGTGGATCACTGGATCCTAGACTGGATCTCTCCCAGTTCGCGGCCGCCAGGCCGTGCGTTGGCCGTGCATGGGTGAGGGTTAGGATTGGGTCGGGTAGGGTCGGGAACGATATGTGACACATCCCGTGTGAGGGACCTAGGTTCAACATCGGGCGGGTTCCGCGGTAAAGCCGAATTTATTTGGGGGGGGGGGGGACGGATTGTGACCATCCCCTCCCCAACATTTGAAAATTAAATACAATGATCCTATGTCATACTTATGATGATATGCAAAATTTTAAAAACAAACTCGATGGTAGTGGCCGGGTTTCAATAGATTATGCTCTTTTTCGCTCGCCAATTTGCGAAAACGCACAGACCGGGGATGATGCCAAAATATCCCCGGTTTTGAAAAATCGTCAGATCGATCTGAAAAATTCAGGGTTTGTCAATTTTGGGGCGGGGATCACGAATCCGTCGTTGGATTTGTTTTTCTCGCGTTCTGAACAAAGTTATGATGGGTGTTGTACGTTACACTTTTCTCGCCGCCGCCGATTGAAGCACAACAGAAAAACTGCAAGTTTACAAGTCGCAACACGCACAATCTCCACCAAACCACGCGCTTATCTCCACAAAATACAGCAAAAATGCAAACCAAGATTTGAACGCACCATCACCCAGCCCCTCAATAATATCTACTTGCTGCTACCGCAGAATGAGACCCCAAACTGTGTACCGGTAACCCTGTCCATCTGGCAGGTGGTCGCCCCCTTCCGGAAAACAATTTTCTTCGCCTTCTTTTTGCTCCCGACCACAGGATCCACCCCAACCACAGGATCTACACCAGTGACCATGATGACTGTCTCCTCTACTACCTGCTCTTCGAGCTTCGTGCCGCAGGCCGGGTACTTGCTCCTGGTATAGCACCGCTCGTACTCATGCACGCGACAGGCAGAGCAAAAACAAGAGGCCGAACCGGTGTGCAGTTTGTGCCGGAGAACCACCTTCTCGACACAAACCGTCTCTTTCGCCAGAGTCGGACCTTCCTCCCCCCCCTCCTCCCCGCCCTCCTCTTCCTCCCCCTCCCCCTCCCCCTCCCCCTCGTCGTGCTCGTCGTCCTTGTCGTCCTCGTCGTCCTCCTCATTCTCGGAACTTTCTTCCTCTTCGGACTCCTCCGACGACTCTTCCTCGCTGCTCGCTCTAGCCCCCCCGCCCCCGCCCTTCAAGTTCCCGCCAAGGAGGGCGATATGCCTCACACTCACTGCGGTCGTCCTCTTGCTCCTCCTGATGCCGTCAGAACCGCCCCCCGCCTCTGCCGCCCGCCCCTCCTCTTCTTGCTCGCCACGGAGGGCGCCTTGCCTCCCTGAACGCTTCCTCTTACCCTTCCTGGTGCCGCCCGCCCCGCCCCCTGCACCCCCCGCCCCTCCCTCTTCGGGCACGCTGCCCTCTTCCTCCTCCCCAACCTTCCTCGCCGTGAGCACAACCATTTCCGTTCCCGCCACCTTCCCCGTCTCCGTTCCCCTCGCCAACTCCCAATCCTTCTTCATGACGTCTGGAATGCGTGAGTTTCCGCTGAGCCCGGTGGTAGTGGAAGCGTCTCTCGCCGTGTTCGCCCCGATGAAGACGTAAGTGTCCCGCGTACCTTTAATCCCCTTCAGGACCGGCTCCGGCCGATAGATCTCCGTTGGTCCGACGAGCTTCACATACACACGTCGAATGCGATACGGCGTCCACGAGGCGAAGAAGTCAGCTAGCGTCCTGTCTCCGATGCTCTTGAAGTACTCGGCCAAGAAGTTCACCACGCCGGCCGCGCCGGTGATGAGCTTACCCCCTGGCCTGAGCATCTCTCTCTTCATGGCACCCTTGGCTATGGCGCCGATGCCGTCGTGGCTGCCTTTGAAGTGAGACGTAACCGCGAAATGGTGCTCGACGATGTAGCCGAGCTGCCGCACGCTGTTTGACAGAAACCGAAAGTTCCGCTTGCCCTTGTATTGCTTGGCGCAGCCGTCCGTGAAAATGTGCATGCGGGGCGTCCGCTTCTCCTCTCGAGCGGCCGCAGTTGCTGCGCTTCCGTCTCCGTCAAGGTAGTGATCGGCGATTTGACGCATCCCATGGAGGTGGAAGTCGAAGTCGTGGCGAGGGTCTTCGGAAGCAAAGATCCATGTCTCGGTGAGGTGCACCCTGCCGCCGCCTTCCAACACTTGCGGGCTGAAGTGTACCACTGCGACCATGAGGGTGGTCGATTCGTGTCTCGCACACGTCAGAACGGATGGAGGGACATGTTCGAACTTCTCGATGAAGTCCACCTCAATAACCAGGTCGCCGTTTGGGAACGTGTACATGTCCTCCCTGTGGCAGTTCCTCCCCCACATGGCCTTCGTGTGGTGATCCATGTACACCTTGCTGTGCTGCTTGAAATCCCTCCAAAGATCGCAGAGCTTGCCCTCCTTGGTCACTAGTTGGTTCGGCAGCGGTTTCTTCCCCTCCCTGTCTAGATCTTCGTAGCGCGTCCACTCCACCAGCTGCTGAGACTCCTCCAGTGCCTTGCACGTGGGAATGCCCCCCTCCCGCCCGAACCCACAGACCTCACAGTCCGAAGAACCGCATTCCGGCTTCCGCCCCATGAACTCACCCGTGGCGTCGGGGTCCCCAGCTCGCAGGTCAACCTTTGGGCACGCGATGGCTTCCGAGAAAGACCCAAGGTTCGACCACATCTTCTTCCACTCGGAGCCTCCATTCTCCACGCTGCACCACCGACAGTTGCACGCGTCACGCCCCTGCACGTCAACCTCACGAAGCGCAGCCAGGTAATAAGTTTGCTGCGTGTGGATCTTGCACGCGCACTGGTCTGTCTTCGGGGAAGTCAAGCACCTGCACCGCGTCGAGAGGAACAGAGTGCGGCCGGGGTCCGCCAGGACCTCGCCGTTCTCCTCCTTCCAGACCCTCTTGAAGTTGATCCAACCTGGCCACACCAAGAACTTTTCGTAGACTGCCTCACCCTGTCCCTCCACGATGAGCTGCCGACGAGGGTGTCCTTTCGCACTGGGCGACTTGGATTCCCGCCAGATGTCCTTGGAGTTCCCCGATGCACGAGATACCTCGTCGGTGTGCCAGAATGTTCCCATGAGCTCCAGCATTTCTGGAGGGGTTGCGTCGCTCCTCTTGGTCCGGGAGTGGAAGTAGTACGCCTTCTCGTCGATTGCCTGAAGTGGAGGGAGCTCAGGCCTCAGCGCTGTCACCCGCCGTCGGGCGACGACGAGGTGCTCTGGGTGAACGCCAAAGATCTCGGACTTGCGCTTGGCTGTCACCTTCGAAGGCCCGTCTCCATCGTACGCAACAGCCGTGAGCAACGTCTGGAACGTTCTCCTTCCCTCTTTGGTTCGCCCTTGGATTGCGGCATCCTTTAAGGCTCTACGACATGCCGATTGGAGCTCCCTCGCTTCCTCCAGCTGCTCTCGAAGCTTGTCAGCGGCGGGCACCTTGAGCTCTGCCAGACACCGCAACAACTCTGTTGTGGTCATCGCTCTCATGGCCGCCACGAATGCTGGCGAGGTGTCACTCCACTCGAATTGCTCTGGTGGCTGGAAGGTTTGAGCGGCAGGGTGGGTCAAGTGCAACGTACAGCAGTGGGGGCATTTGGAAACGTCAGCGCTGGGGTAGCAGCAGAAGAAATCAAGAATGAAAGCCTGTGATTCAATTTTTACTTCGATGCGAATACCAAATGTACACTCGCCGTAGACAGCAATCGGAAGTTGCGCCAGTGGTGGCATACAACGCATCGAGCGAGAGCAATCCACAACTCTGGAGGTAGAGAAGAAGTCTCGCATCACAGCGAACACTCGTTGTTACCTTCAGCAGTCGGCAGGCATCTACGGTAAAGAGAGCAGACAGCAGTCTACAACCAAAGGTGGTACCAGTACATGCAGGCAACCTTTCAGTTTTGTTTTCCCATACAGCAGTACCCTCAAGGTTGTTGTTTTTTCATCTAGTACAACAGAAGAGGAGAGGGGTTCAAGAGGGGATAGCGAGAGAAAGACAGCAGACAGACCCAGCAGCACCCAGCAGCAGCAGATTCTTACCTCTTCCTCAGGGGGGCGATCGGGAGCAGTCGGCCTTGTAACGCCAGCACGAGTCTTCCGCGGCAACGCCGCTCTCACTGGACAGCTCATCTCGCTGTCTGCCCTCCTGCCGGTGTTGCCGCATCTTCGCACGCCGCTGCTAGGCTGCAGTGTTTTTTCGTATCTGTCCCTTCTCGTCTTCAAGATTTCCTCGGCCTTTTCCCTAGCTTTCGAGCATAAGGCATCCTCGTCATCCTTGGGGTAGGCCACAAGCTGTACGACAACGCGGGTATCCTTCCGCTGGTCCATCAGCTTGGTGGTGAGCTTGAGGCCTAGGTCGTGTGGAACCCATTGGTGCGTTACTTTCCACTGCTTGTCTCCCAGCGGTACGATGCGGATGCAGTTGCCCGCTGGGATGCCAGCTCCAGCCCCAGCCCCACTCATATATGGCCCCCTCCCGCGGCCACTTTTGGTCAGACCAACTTTCTGAGTGGCTCTACCCCCCCTAAATCGGCCAAGCGGAGTCGATTGCCGAGGAGAAATGGAGGCGGCGAGATCGGGAATGCGCCGAAAAAAAAAGTTCGGCATGATCCGAACTGATTTTTTTTTATTTCTCTTTTTTCTATGCGCTGAAACGTCGTTTTAGACTTAGAACCAAAAGCGTTTTTTTGAAAAAAGTTTTTTTCGCCGCGGGAGACCCAATTCGTCTTGACCGCGGAACCCGCCATCGGCACTGACTGCTTGTTTGTCAAAAAGTCTAGCCCAACCTCCGTGTGGATCTCACTGACAACACGCGAGACGCCGCTAGCAGTAGACTACACTATTCATCGTCATGATGAACATTTCGTTTCGCTCGATCGTTGGTGGTTCTGACTCGACACACCTCGCTGCTTAATGAAAACAGTGGAGGCACCTGACATCGGTTGGTACATCAGTAGTCAATCGCCGGTCGGTCGAGCGATTTACACCTAGATAGACTACTACTACTACCTGCTCCCCAAGAGATCGGATCTATCTGCATGTTATGTACACAACCATTACCCGGTAGATCTAAACCTACACCAGTGGGTGCATGGTTGTGTGGTGGTGGTGTCAATATTCTGTTGTCTACAGCGCAGGGATCGCTATCCCTCCTGCCCTCCTGTGAGGGGGAGCTTTTGGTGTAGCCACGAATCAACGAACACCAGAATCTAGAATCTAGAGGAGAGCGAGATAGAGAGAGGCAGACAGAGAGAGAGGGAGGGAGGGAAGGAGAGAGCCTTTGGCAGCGAAAGTGCGCCCCTCGCGGTCCGTGTTACAACAAGTAGTCCATCGGCAAGGCGAAACGGATGGGCGTCGTGCTCTATTCCACACAGCAAAGATTTCCCTACAGTAGTTCCTACGAGATAGGATTTGAGGCCACAAGAAGCTTGGGATGATCACGGCGGCGGCAGTGCCAGAGCGCAACAGGCTCCCGAAGGAACGAATACACACGATTCCGGGCCCATGATTAATATTTTTGCTCTTGAAAGATACCCAATGCTGTTGTCGGTTCGAGGGAGCGTTCGTGAGCCCAGGCTCGCGTCACGTATGTATGCATTCGTATGCAAGTGCAAACACCAGCAAGAGAAAATTCAACGATCGAAACATTCAACACGTATCATCTGTTGTTCTCTCCACCCCGCCTTGTACTTAATATGATCTCGCAGACAAACGAGATCCAACTCCCCATCATCCCGTAACCATTGGTGTTAGCGGTATTTACAAGCGAAACGGGACACAAGGTCGCCCTGGGGCAGCATTGACCAATCCTACTCTCTTTGTCAACAAACCGAGGGTAGGCTTACCAAACTAAAAAAAATAGGCCAAGTCTCCAGTCGGTTTCAGTCCACTTACAGAAAAGACTTCACCACATCCCTTTCGACTCAGGTTATATCTCGAACGGGTAGTCTTTCTGTGAGGTTATGTTTACTTTCTAAAAAACCGCTGCTGTTGAACAGAAACCAAATGCAATACAACACCGACGCAAAACTGGCCGTTCTGCTGCCCTACAAAACACGGAGTTTTTTAGAGACACGCGGATACTCGTAGTAAACACCAGACAAGGCAGGGTACCCTACCGCGATTACTTTGCATCCACCGTGCCCCCTAGAATCCGGTCCCACCTACCAGGTAGCAGAACACTACACATCGAATCTGAAACTGAATATAATACATGAGCAGACGGAATACCGGCCACTGCTGACAAGCCAGTGGAGAAAGCACTCCTTTGCACACTGCGCAGGCTTGCTTGCTAGCGGACTCTTGCGAACGGTGAACCTCGCGCCGCGGACACGATCGAGCCTCACGTGCTTACGCAGGTACGTTACGTACGCCCATAAGAAGTGCCCACTCTTCCTTCTAAGAATAACAGCAACTCGCAAAATCCGTAGCTGCTAGCTGCCTACCGCCAGAGGGTGAGCCTGAAATCACGCCGCTTGCGCCCAGCCGGTACCGAAATAACAACGTAGGATTCGCTCTTGCTACTGCATGAGTTGCCCCCGAAAAAGACACCGGGACTTACTAGCCGTAGAGGACAGATCCGCCTTCTCTTTCCTGACCAGGGCCACACAACAATGGGTGCCGTCGAAGGAAGGCGTGCGAGCAATACCACCCCCGCACCGCATGCCGCGAGCACAGCCCAGGCGAAGCACAACAACGCGGCCACGTTACGGGGTCGTCAGCCAAGACAGCATGCATACTCCCGCGTGTTTATATCCCAATGCAAACAGCAGCCATTGACAAGACGTGGTGGACAAATGCAAGCCCCCATTCTCCATTTTTTTTGTTTCGTTTTCTAGAAGCTCCGGTACGACGAGCTCTCCTTGTTCTCTCGGTAGGTCACCCATAGCACCCGCATCTGTGGGATTTCCAAAGACACAGATCGGCACAGAGGTAGGGGGGGCATCACAGGCAGAAAGCTGAAAAGATACTCGCTTGAGACATTCAGAGCGTTAAGAACACGCTGCAGTGCAGAGCGCAGCCTCGCCAACACATGCAACGGAGCGAACACCACATGGTACACCCGATTGGCCATTCACTTTTCTTTATCCTGCAAACGTCGAGAGGTACACTGCGACGTTCCGTGGAGGCGGTGGCCGAAAAAACATGCAAAGGAGAAGCAACTTGCGCGAGGGAGAAGGGTTCTCGCCTATCCCTGAGCAACCGCCGGCAAACAACGCGCCATCAGCTTGGCGCCAGCGGATGGCACAAATGCATATTTCGCGGGCGGTAAGGCGGCGTTCCGCAAGGTTGTCCGACCACAGGGGGAAGCGACGCTTGCAGCGACTGCCCCGCGGGCACGACAGCAGATGCGAAACAATACGTGCGTGTCGGACTATCGTTCCCCAGCACGAAAGCGTGTTGCAGTTTCGTTTCCCGCCGGTTCTTCAACAACATAACCGCATCTCTTCCGTTCCGTCGACTTGAATTCCATGGTTTCGAAAAAGGAACTTTCACATGTTTTCCTGCGGCCGCTCCACTTTGTAACAACACCCCAAAAAAACACGCCACCCCGCGCCGAGGGGGAACGGCAGGCATCACTTCTCACGAGCTGCGGTGCCGAAACCACCGCTGCGCTGCCCAACCCTCCCCCCCCCCCCCGAACGAAAAACGCCTGCTCCGAAACGCACCTGCAAGAGGAGGCAGACCCACTGGCTGGCCACCTTCAGCCACACGCTCTCCAACGGAGTGATCGAGGTACCGAACGATTCCGGAGATCTGGCAGAGAGAGAGAGAGAGAGAGAGAGAGAGAGCAAACAAAAAAAAGAGGGAAATGACAGCAAGAAAATGACTCTGTGCTCTCTCGTGGTGTATTCGCCACCAACGGAGGGAGGGCTTGGCGGACAAAAAAAGGTCTGGTAACACGCCCTAGTGGGCGTCTCTTGTAAGTTTCGGGAACGACCTGCGGGAGCCGCGCAAGAATGGACCGTCTGACAGCTTTACATTTGTCTTATCGGAAAAACGGGTGCCAAACGGAGAAAAAACAAAAACTGCCGACCACAAATCGTGGCCAAGACACCACACCGCACAACATCAACATTACACATCACGACGAGCTGTTTTTCGCATCAAAGGGACCGCAACCCACGCGCCCACGTGATGATGCAGGCTACAGGCAAAATGGCTGCGAGTACTCTTATCTAAATGGGTGCTATTCGACCCAGTGCCACCGAAACTCTCTTGTTTCACACCCTCAACAAGAAATTAGCTACGTGCACTCCAAGCTAGTGCGCTGCTGCACGTCAGCGCGGTAGTCTGGGCTCAAAACACACCAAACCGCAGGAGATGGCACCAGACGACCTCCACTCACGCACACCAACTCCTGCTTCCCCTCCCTATCGGTAGTAGAAACCTTTGGTTACAAAGCGTTAACACAAGACTGAAAAGTTTTCATTGGTCAGCCGGGTGCAGCGCGGTCGATGCTAATAATGAAAACACACATACACATGCTCACGGGGTCCCGCATTTACAAGTGTTTGGTGTTTTCAACCGCGCTGAGACTGAAACATTTTCATCGGTCACCCGGTTAGCGCGGTCGATGCTAAAAAAACATCACACAAACATACACACTGACGTAGAAAAAAAAAAAAACGACGTTCATGCCCCTCTCACCCGTCCGTGCGAGCCCAGGAGGTCATGGCCATGGCGGCGAAGCAGCTCGCGGAGGCCATCGCGGCGCAGAAGAACACCCGGGAGGGTCGCGACTCGATCGCGTCTTCCCCGCCACCCCCCTCCGCCGTGTCGTCGTTGTTGATGTTGGGTCTGCCCGACGCGGACAGCAACGAAACGCTCTCCTCGCCCTCCACGCCGAACAGCTCGAGAACCTTAAGCAGGAGACGGGGGGGGGTGAGGGCACTCGTATAACCACATCGTTATACCACAGACCTCGCACCCTTACAATGCCGGGACGGCGCGATATGCCGGGTTTTCCCCGGCCCAGGCTGCGATTTACAAGCATGAACCAGAGGCTCGTAATCATTTTTGCGTTTGAGGGGGGGGGGGGGGAGGGGTCCCATCAAGGAGGTTTCGGCCTGAGCCGTTGGTTGACCGGTTCGGGGCATACTCCCCAACGCACGACACCAGTCGTTGCGATGTTCGATTGAATCGGTATCGCGTACACGGCGAGAGAGCTGTTGTGCTGCCATGTTCCGGGCGAGACTTGGTAGACATATAGATAAGATGCCCCGTCTTTTCTGCCTCGCCACCCACTAGCGAGAACGCCACAAAGAACAAGATCACTCACGCGTAAGGGTGACGTCAGCAGCTGGATGGCAGGAGTTCCCAAGAGGTCACAATCGCAGAGTGAGAGAGAGAGGAAAAGAGACCACGCCATGTCGGACTCGCTCGTCGCAACCCCCCCCCCCCCCCCCACCCAGATGTAGTTCGATGTGACCAACAAGGGGGCTGCTGTCTCTCGCTTCCTCTGGACAGTTGTTCAGGCTCCCGATACAACTACTTTGCATTCTTTCCCGTACAGCGAAACAACTCCTTTGTAATATTTCCCGTACAGTATCTACCACACATCCCCAACACACCCCACTCATGAGAAAACCTCACAGCAACAACAGGGAAAACACACACATGCAGACGAGCGCACGTACTTTCTCTCCGTGCCACGTTTATCCAGGCCACCGTCGCCACCAAGATGGCGAGGGAAATCACCACGCCGACGCCCTTCCCGCTGGCGGAGGGAACGTCGTCCGCGGCGTAGGGGTTGCAGGCCTGGTCCGGGTGGCTCGACATGGCGTACCAGCAGAGGAAGGTGCTGTGCGCGAAGAGGATGGACGGGGGAAGCAGGCCGATGCCGACGCTCTCCACGAGGCTGAGCACGGTGGTCACCACCCCGACCGCGAGCGTGATGCCCGCCAGCGAGGCGCCCAGGGTGCACCCCACGTGTCCCTGGCGAAGGAGAGGAGGTTCCCAGGGAGTTAGGGGCACCGCCGTCGCCAAACCGTTTTTTTCTATTTTTATACGGGTGAACAGACAGACGGCCGCGGTTCCCCCATACAAGCGCAGCTTTGGGCGCGAATAACAAACCCACCGATATCATCACCAGGACGAGGGCTCACAGCTAAAATACAAGAGGAAAGGAAAAAGTCAAGCAACTTAACATTGGCCAAAGCCCACGAGAAAAAAGAAAAAAGGAAACCAACCCCCTCGAGCCGCCCACCAGGAAAAGTCTGGGTAGAGGAACTTTCACAGCAGAGCTACAGTAGACAGATAGCTCACCGTGAAGAGAGTCGCGAGTCCAAGGCCGGTCGCCGCCAGGCAAGCACCGGACAGCACCAGATACAGGATTCGCCACCAGGAGGAACAGATGGAGCTCGAGGAGCCGGAAATCGAGTCTTGTTCTTCCGCCTGCGGTGCACGATTGGAGGCGGAGACGGAACGGCAAAGTGTCTCTTCTCTCTTCGTGTGTGTGCGGGGGGGGGGGGGGGCTGCCAAAACAGTCCTGCCCCTGGCCAAAATAAAGGGGGGGGTTGGGCAAAGGCCGGGGTTGGGACGGGGGGACCCCGTGGGTGGGCCCCCTTAACCAAAGGGGGGGGGTGAATTTCCGTCCGTTTTAAGCCGGAGCAATCCATGGCCTGTGAATTTTTGGGTTGGGGGGGGCCCAAACGGGGTTTCCCTCGAGGGGGGGGTGGGGGGGGGGGGG